GAATTGGTTTCGTAAGGGGCAAAAGAACACAAAGACAACATGCAGGAGAGTAAGTTAGGGCCACACTCCTAGAAGATACACTCTGAATTGTCCTGATGTGTATCTGAGATGTGCTTTTAGGGTGCTTATTTCTTGCCTGTATCACAAAAGAGTAAAAGAAACACTCTCGGTTTCCTGTTTTTATGTCTGTATTCACTTTAGACTCATCACTCATTTGGGGAGGGTTGTCGGTTCCATCTGTTGAATCTCTTTTCCCATCAGGGTGGAGGAGTCTCTATCCGGAAGTCAGAGATGTCCCGGGGAAGGGTCATCAAGGGCCTTCCCCTGGAAGAACAGACGCGGTGGCCGCCAGCCTTTGGGGTGTGAGAAAGGCGTCCTGTGCAGTGGGGCTGGCAGCCCTGAACTCTGGGTGAGTTGCCAGGAGATATAGGAGTCATGCAGCTCGGTTAGACGCCAAGCAGGGGCCTGAGCGGCAGATCAGTAAACCCGGGAGGCCTTACCAGGCCCATGTGAGGTGCGGCTCTGGTGCCCCATATTTCCCACAGCTGCAGCCTCGCCTCAGTGGGATGTGTTCAGACCGTGCTATCGGCTTTGTGTTAGTTGTATTGCTTTGTTTTCCCTTCCTGTTGCTTTCTGAGCGTCCCAAGTCCTGAGGCCTCGCTGGAGCCTGTGATTTGTTTATTGTGTCTGGCTCTTTTTTCCTATGGCAGACCATCTCCTATTCCTGATACTTAGCCCTGTGAGTGTTTTGGCTCCTGGCTTCTGCGGGTGACTTGAGAAGTCTTCCGGTGCTTTGCAGAGAGAGCCTGGGCCGAGTGTGCCCACCCCCTTACCTTGGTTGTGGGGTTCCTTTGGCAGCTGCATAATATGAGCAGCTTCCTGAACAGCTGCAGACGTTGAAGATCAAGTCTCTGTGGCAGTGTGAATCCCTAGCTGCCAGGGCATGTTTCTTTCTGGAATGGTCTCTAGAACCACTTTTCCTCCTGATGAGATTCGGTGTAAAGCCTGGGACATTTAGCTTTCTTTAAAGGTCACTGCCTGTTTGTCACATCTCGGGTGTGCTACAGTGTCTGGCTCTGCAGAGAGCATGTCCAGAGCCCCCCACAGAGCCCCCACACCTCTGGTGAGCAACCGTCTTCTTTTCGCACTGGCATTGGGTAACAGGAGTTAAGACGTGACGCGTTCCTTGTTTGCACAGGTCTGACCTGATTTTTTTTGCTCCCAAAGAAGTTTTGATTTTTAAGTTGAGACTTCTTTCTCTTTCAGCCCAGTAGTCATCGATGATGAGGAAGTGATCATCTGGGGGGACAGGAGGGAAGTGTATGGTCATTCTCCATGGTGGGGGTCATGGCAGGGCTAGCATGAGCTTGACTGTCACAGTCACCTGGCCACTCTCCTTTTCTGTCAGCATTACAGGCGGAAGAAGACCTATATCTTCTTCTGCTAGTGCCTCAAGCGTCTTCGGAAGCGGAGGCAACGGCAAGCAGAAGCTCTTTCTCCAGGACGTAGCTGAGCTGATTCGAGCCGGAGCCTGCCAGAAGGCAGTGGTCATGGTGGGGGCCGGCGTCAGCACGCCCAGCGGCATTCCGGACTTCAGGTGCCCTGCAGTGCCTAGCTAGATCCTCCCTCGCCACCCTGGTCCGCTGCACGGCCCGCCTCACGGGGCTCAGGGCGTCTTGCCCCTCCTTGCAGGTCTCCAAGGAGCGGCCTGTACAGCAACCTGCAGCGGTACGACCTCCCATACCCTGAGGCCATTTTCGAGCTCACTTTCTTCCATCACAACCCCAAGCCCTTTTTCGCTCTGGCCAAGGAGCTGCACCCCGGGAGCTACAGGCCCAATGTCATACACTATTTCCTCCGCCTGCTCCACGACAAGGGGCTGCTTCTGCGGCTCTACACACAGAACATCGATGGGCTCGAGAGAGGTGAGCTCTCCACCTGTCCACGCCTCTTCTTCTGCAGGGACCGCTTCTCCCCTCCCCTGTGACTCATTTCAAGCCGGCTTGTTTTGCCTTCATCCCTGACAGAAATGTCCACTGTGTGTTTAAGGGCCACTGTCGGGACCTCGTTGGTGGACCTGATGTCTTGGCATACTTGTTGGGCTATGAGTTTTGGATGGAGCTAAAGGTGACACTTGAGAGCTTTAGTTTGCTAATCTGATATGACGATTTCTTTTTTTTTTTTAATTAAAAAATTTTTGTTAATGTTTATTTATTTTTGAGACAGAGACAGAGCGTGAGTGGGGGAGGGGCAGAGAGAGAGGGAGACACAGAATCCGAAGTGGGCTCCAGGCTCCGAGCTGGCAGCACAGAGCCCGACGCGGGGCTCGAACTCACGAGCCCCGAGATCGTGACCTGAGCCGAAGTCGGACGCTCAACCGACTGAGCCACCCAGGAGCTCCGGTGATGATTTAGTTTTCAAGAAATTTATTGTGAAATGTTTTGAGCACAGAAAAGTAGAGAGAACGTAACGAGCCCTCACGTCCTCCTCACAGCCAGTCCTCACTTCATCTGTGTCTTCTTTCCCCCACCTTTTCTCTCACCCCGTTATTTTGAGCAGATCCCTCGCATCATAAACTTAATCTGTAAACAATCTGTAAGTACTTCAGCGGGTAGCTCTAGAAAATAAAGATTTAAAAATCATAACTACGATATCATAACTACGATATCGAAGAAATCACTATTAATGCCTTAGAATTACCAAACTCTGTGTGTAATGATTTCCTGACTGTCCCGAGGGCGGCCACAACCAGTGATTCACAGATCGTACTGGCTGCTGACCGCATCTTAGAGAAGCATGGCTGAGCCTTTCTCTTATGGGCAGATTCCAACGAGTGCTGACTCTTAGTGAGCCAGCATCCGCTCAGCCAGGCTGCAGACATCTGGTGATTTGAAGAAAGTAGTCTCCTCAACTCCAGGAAAATAATTCCTTGCCAGAAGGATTCTGCAGCTTGCAGCCCCATAGGCAGCAGTGGAACCCCTGTGGGGGCGACCTCTTCTTCTGGAGTTGCAGCAGGCAGGCCCGTGCGAAGGCGCGAGCTCTGGCTTGTGGGCTGTAGCGTATGGAGATTTATGACCATGGCGGGGATAGCGGAAGCCACTTGCAGCTGGGACTGTCTGTCCACCCACAGCCCAGAAGCTGACAGTGGGAACAGACAACTGTCATAATAAGTTACCTCTGTTTTTCTATAGTTTTTTGGAAACTGTCTTTGTACTGTTTTTTCACTTTTACTGGGTATCTGTAGAATAGAAAATGTTTTCCTAGTTATTAAATATAATTTTATCTGAACTTACATCAAACTTGTTGACAGGCCTCATTTTAACCTTGGTTTGGCTCCATCGGTGCTCATTCTGGTCAGTGGGGCGTCATCTGGAGATGGTGGAGGCAGGGACACCAGGCTCGCACGAGGGCTGTGACTGCCTCTGGGGACCTGCCAGGCTCGGAGCCATGCTTGGGGGCCTGTGCACCCACCCCAGAGCCAGCAGCACTTTGCTTTGGCTTGAATTTCAGTGGCTGGCATCCCTGCCTCCAAGCTGGTTGAAGCTCACGGATCCTTTGCCTCTGCCACGTGCACTGTCTGCCGAAGGCCCTTCCCAGGGAAGGACGTTTGGGTGAGTTGTCATGCTGGCAGTTCTCTCCCTTCTGCACTCTGCGGTGGGAGTGATCTGGAGAAGTGACGTTTTATAAGCATTGTATTAGAAGAACAACAGAACAGTAATGGTGTGAAATGTTTTTCTTTATTTTTAAATTGGAAAAGTAATATATGCCTGTCAAAAATTAAGAGATATGTGGGGAGATAAGGCATATGTAGGGAAATGGGGAAAATGTATTTCCCTTCAGCCGATTCCTATAGCCCACTTTAACAGTTTGGTATGTAATGTTACAAGCCTTTAAAAAAAAGGGGAGGGGCGTGGCACCTGGGTGGCTCAGTCGATTAAGAGACTGACTCTTGATTTGGGCTTAGGCCATGATCTCATGGTTCATGAGTTCAAGCCCCTTGTCAGGCTCCGTGTGGAGCCTCCTTGGGATTCTCTCTCTCCCTTTCTCTCTGCCCCTCCCCCACTCCTCTCTCTCCCTCTTTCTCTCTCACAAAATAAATAAATAAGCTTTAAAAAAATTAAAAAAAAGACATGTCATGAAACGCCCACATAGTCATATCTATATTTTCTTCCCCAACACACAGTGACAATTTTTTTTTTTTTTTTTTTTAGCTACAGGATTATTAACCTTAATCTACAACCTGCTCTGTTACAGAACAAAATTTCATGGATTTATCGTGTCAATAACCACAGCTCCGCTTACTGTTTTTAGTAACTAGAGTAATACATTTAGCCATTCACCTACTGTGGGACATTTTTTGATGTTTGTGATTTTTACTATTAAAAATAATGCATCAGTGACACTGATGCTTATACCCTTGTGTACTTCTGGCAATATTTCTGTAGGATGGGTTTCTCAAAGTGCAATAGGACAAGCTGGAAAATTTTAAATAAAGATGAAGGTCTGAAATATTGATGAGGTATAGGGCCTTGTCTTTTACTTTTCAATGATGTGAAATTCACATAACCGTAAAATTAAACATTTTTAAACCTGTTTTTTTTTTAAGTTTATTTCTTTTTAAGAGAGAGAGAGAGAGAGCAAGAACAGGGGAGGGGCAGAGGGAGAGGGAGACACAGAATCCAAAGCAGGCTCCAGGCTCTGAGTTGTGTGCACAGAACCTGATGTGGGGCTCGAACTCACAAACTGTGAGATCATGACCTGAGCTGAAGTTGGATGTTTAACCAACTGAGCCACCCAGGCGCCCCCGTAAAATTAAACATTTTAAAGTATGTAATTCATTGGCATTTAATATATTCACAGTGTCGTGCAAACACCACCTCTGATTCCAGAACATTTTCATCACCCTAAAGGAAAACCCTTTACCCACTACTCAGTCAACGCTTCCCAGCACAATCCCTGGCAACCACTGATCCGTTTATTGTCTCCATGGTTTTGCCTTTTCCAGAATGTCAGAGTTGGAATCATACAGTGAGCAGCCTTTTCAGACTGACTTCCTGCACTTACTAAGATGCATTTACATTTCCTCCTTGTCTTTTCATGGCTTCATAGCTCATTTCTTTTTAGTGCTGAATAATATTCCCTTGTCTAGATGGACCACAGTTTATCCATTTATGTCCTGAAGGGCACTTTGGTTGTTCCTAGGTTTTGGCATTTGTTAATAAAGCTGCTATAAACATCTGTGTGCAGGTTTTTGTGTGGATATAAGTTTTTCAACTCATGTGGGTAAATACCAAGGAATCTGATTTCTGGATTGTATTGTAAGAGCATGTTAGCTTAGTGCCTTCCAGTGTGGCTGTACCATTTTGCATTTCCACCAGCAATGATGAGAGCAGCACCTGGTGTCGTCAGAGTTCTAGAGTTTAGCTGTTGAGATAGGTGTGCGATGGTATCGTCTTATGCAATTCCATGATGACGTAAGTAATGGAATATCTTCTTTAAAAAAAATTTGTTTTTGTTTTGGAGAGAGAGCATGAAGTGAGGAGAGGGGCAGAGCGAATATTAAGCAGACTCCGTGCTCAGCAGTGTGGAGCTTGATGTGGGGCTTGATCCCACGACCCTGGGATCGTGACCTGAGCCGAAATCAAGAGTCTGATGCTCAGTCGACTGAGTCACGTAGGCGCCCCATGGAATATTTTTTCAAATGCTCGTTTGCTACCTGTATATCGTCTTTGGCGAGCTGTGTATTTAGTTCTTTGGCCCATGTTTTAATTAGGTTGCTGATTTTCTTATTGTTGAGTTTTAAGAATTTTTTGTGTATTTTGTATAGCAGTCCTTTATCAGAGGAGGATATTCTTTATCTGTGGAGGACAGGGAGAGACCAAAGAGGTGGCCACTCTAGGTTTGTAGGTGGCAGTTTAGTAAGTAAGAGAACTTATGTGCGAGGCTCCTCCTGGGCAGCAGCAAGACAACCAGATCCCTGCACCCACCTCCACATCTGACAGGTTTATAATGAGGCCTTAACTGGGCTCGGTCACGTCTACTGTGCACATCACCACCTCCAGGCTGTGTCCTTGAGCAGTCTCCGGGACGGGGAAGGCAAGTGGAACCCGCGTTCCAAGGACGGGGGAGGGGGGAGTGAGGAGCTCCCAGGTGCCGGGTCCAGGCCACAGGTCAACTGGCAGTTTCGTCTTTTGATGACCTTCCCCAATACTCAGTGGTGATTTCTTGCAAGTATTCTAGCATCTTGCCAAAACTTAGGCATCTGTTTCTTTAAATCCCTTCCAGGATGTTCCTATTAGGATGCTTTCATCCAGTGTTTGGCCCGACCCTCACCAACACGCATGTGGACCCATTGATATAAATCTGAGCACTCATATTAGTAAATTTGAATAACTATGTTAAATTCTTCAGCAAATTTATGGGGTCTCAGTCACTTTAGGAAACTCTTTCACTATGGCTCAAAACTCAGCCTTAATCCAGGCAACGTAAGCAATGTGGCGTTCTTCGGGACCCCCAGCAGAGTTAACTGTAGAGGGGTAGGTATTAATAGGCTTGGGAGAGGAGGGGTGAGGAGAAGTTTGGAGGGAAAAGGAAGCTCAG